AAAAAGATGGCAAATGTTGGAGGAAACCGTTCTAACCCAACTAGATGCCGAATAAAAGATCAAATGTGATCAATAAAAATTTGATTCAAACAAAACAAGGTGTTGATCTATGGTAAAGCAAAAGCAAATTGAAAGCAAGATCCAATCGCCTCGCTCTAATACCATGAAGAGTTTCTAAATATGAGAGAAATTAAAATAAGAAAGGAAAACAAAAACAAGAACACCAAGGTATACATGTTTCAACACAATGTGCAATGTGCCTATGTCCACGGACCAAACACATCAAGGGCTACATTGAAATTATTGTCGAAAGTGCAACTTGATATGTAAAACCTAGAAAAATTTAAAATTTTTATGAAAAAGTGTAAAACGGTAATTACTTGCTACGATACGAGTTAAAAACCTGAATTTTTCTAATATTCAAATGACCAAACGAACATAACCGTTGGATTCGTCTCACAAAATCTAGTTACCCAGTCAATTTTCGTTGAATTCTAAGACAGTCAGATTTTTCACGTTTTACAAGGCAATCGGTTGTGAAAGACCAAAATAAACGCGACCAAAAATTAATTGCAAAATGTGAAAAATAATTTAAAGTTAATTCAAATTAAAATATACTCAACTTGAAATGGGATGAGATTTAATTGATTTGAGACAAAATAAACCAGGGAAAGGCGGACGTGTGGCGCAAGGAGGGTCAAGTATCTAAGGGGTATAAATAGGGGAGAAAAATTAGATTATTTACCCATTACCCATCAGATTTTTGGAAAAGAGAGAGAGGGAAGAAGAGAGAGAAAGCAAGGATTTCTTCAAGCCTTCTTCTTTCGATTTAGGGCCAACCCTTGGTCAAAATCCTTCGGGCAAAGAACCAAAGTTCACCTACTCGACGAGAGCTATGTCCATGTACCAAAAATGGCGGGTTTTGACGAAGTGTCAAAGACAAAATTTTGGAAATCAAGGACTAAAGCTTGATTTGGGTTCTTGGGAGTTTTTCTACTGCTCGAATTATACTTAAAGAGGTAGGGTTCTTCTCCTAACTAGGTTTATTTCTAACATATGGTGAAATATGAAATGGGTAGTGTGTCAAAGATGTAATCTCATGTATTGCACATACCTATTGTGATTGAAATGTGAAAAGTGGGTTAATGAATAGTTAAAATCAATTCTTGCATGAATTTAGTTGTGGAAATTGCTTGTTTGGTAATTTCATGACAAAAGTGATGTATTGGGCATATTATGTTTTTACATGATTTTGTACCTTGTGGGTGTTTGATAAAATGTGAATGGTATGAGCATGTTATTTGAATGAAATTGATATAACATGTTTAGATAATGTTGTAAATTGTAATTATATGTTTATGATATAATTGACAATTGTGAATGTTGGTTGAGATGGAATATTGTTCATATTATGCTTATGACATGTTGAACTTGATGTTGATATTGCAATTAAAATTTTAGCTGCATAGTGATATAAAATACAGTGATACATTACATTACATATGCACGGGTAGTATCACATTCATGGGCATGTGGTATGAGTGTGGGTGTAGGTGCATGGTTTTGATCAAACACCATCCTTGGTGGATGATGCATGGGCTCGAGAAAGTTAGACCAAAGTTCAACTAAGCCGCATGGGTTGGATTGAAAATAGGGTCGACATTAGCAAGAAGTGCTAGACTGTCCTTCAAGTGCAAGACCCGGTGATTTGGACACGCACTCTGTTGTTATCGAGTTCATAAAGTGTGTCGACTTTTGCGGAGCCGTTGGTAGAAGTCCATGAATGTCATGTCGGTTGGGTGCCCGTTGGTGTAAGTCCTTAAATACATATCCCAAGAAAGGCTCGGGAATTATAATGGTCCTTGGATATGGAACATCAATGGCGGAAGCTTGAAATGCCTGAATTCATACTCATGACATTTGCATGTGCTATGGGAGCCAGTGAAAGCTCAAATTGAGTTTCATGTGTGAGTCTAATCTCATAACATGGCATGACATAGAGAATTTCATTATGAATTGCATATTTTTAAATGGATTGTTTTTTGATTGTTAAATTGTATGTGAACATTTCATATGCAACTAAGTTAGAGAGTAACCTCTTTAGGAGATACCCTATTGAGCGTAGCTCACCCTTTATGGAAACAACATTTCAAGTGCGGGATAAGCGCCGGTGGATGGCTCTCACTGTGGCTCTCATTGATGAAGAAAAACTAAGATGTAGCTTTAAATTATGTTTTTGTTAAAAAAATATGTAATTTAATTTTTGGACATGTAATATTGTGTAAAGGATTGTAAAACAAACTCGTATGAACTATGTTTTGTTAAAAATTTTATATTATATGAGTTTGAGTTGTTTTTGTATGAGATTGGAAGAGTTGAGGTTAAAAAAGGATTGAATCGGGAAAAAATTGAGATGATCTACTGGTAGAACATTGATTACCTACTGATATAAGTTTTCCAATGAGCTCTCCTACCGGTACTTCGTTGCCTTTTTTTTTTCTTTTTTCCAAGGTAGTTGGGTATGAAAAAGGCTTTATATTGTATCCAGAGCTTATCTGGGTTACGTTCGGTGGGTCGAGGAGGATAAGAGCAAATGAATGAACTGAGATGAAATGTTCTTTTCTTGACCTTTCTACATGTTTGGATCTAGAAGAGCCTCTCAGTTGCTAGGTTCAATAAGCTATATAATGGTGAATGTTTGTCTATATACCATTCTTATCGAACACATGCATGCATTCTGCACATTACAATTTGAAAGATATGTGCCTAATGAAAATTATATATATCAACAGTAAGTGAAATCCAACAAATCTGAATGCCCAGCTTATTTTAGTTGCGGGATAAGAATTCCTCATAGTGGAGCTCTAAAATATATCTATATGGAGGTGTATAAGAACCTGCTCAGATAGCTTCCTTGTGAGAGAAAGCACAATAACTCGAGGGCGTCTAGGCTTCATCAGAATACCATTTAATGCTTCATCTTGTCTCAACAACTAAAAATCAATAGACTGTAAGTATCTTTCTCTTTATCAACACAACTGTGAGCAATTCCATTAACTATAAGCATAAGAAAACTCATAATCAAACAGAGTACCATATTATCTCTTAATCTAAATAGATACTTGGGCACATTTCACTTAAACTATACAATTAATGGAAGAGGTTAAAAATAAATGGTGGGTGAGTAACTAAAATTTGCCTCAGTAGAGCACATTTCACACACTTTTGTTAACTCTTGCAAAGAATATTGAAATCTGTTCTATTCAAAAAGTGCAGACAACTCCCCACGTCCTAGTTTTACATTAAATCTGTATTTGTAGGTCTAAATATACCTTTGTAACCGAGCAGATGAAAATTAGCCTCGAGTTTCAACCTTTATTTTTGACTCTAATTCAAAAACTAATATTCACAATGCAAAAGTAGCATTACAACCTTTCAAATGCAGGCCTTTGATGTGCTTGTTTGAAGCAGATTTTTCCTAAGGAAATTGCTCCAATTTTAGGTCTAGCCTTTTGTGGGCTTTTGGATAAGTAACAATATATGCGAGTAATCATTCATACATGAATGCACTTGAATTATATTTTCTTTTTTCAACAAGTCACAAAACAAACAAGATTTCAGAATTTATTTAACAAACCAATTAAATTACAATTAATAAAAACTAAATGAAACAAAAAACAGTAATTCTTTCGGATTTCTATTAGAAAAAAAAACACAACTTTACAATCACTTTTTCATTTCTATTAGGAATATCATCGAACTGGTTTTAGGCATCACTACATCCAAATATATATGAATGTAAAGAAAAACTATCTAAAAACATAAATAAAGGAAGAAAAAAAAATATACCAATCCTTTTCACCTAATATGATTATCAAGTGCAATATGAACACACACACTCGGACATAGAAGACCACAAGGAAAAGTTGTATCTGAGAATTATATCTTTGGAAGTTATACATCTAAGAATAATTGACTAAATTTACAGAGAAATTACCTGATATTAGGTCGCATCTGAGCTATCACATGTTGATCCTGGTCACCAATGTAACCTTTTGTTACATACAAAGATGAAGGAAAGGCAAAAAGTGATTGGGAGGGGATGAGAGGAGACGAGAGAAACAAGACACTGAAGAAAGAAAGTATTAACAAGAGAGAAGAGAAGAGACGAGAGGAACAAGAGACTGAGAAGAGACGAGAGGAGTGAGAGACGATGAAATGAGAGAGACAAAGAGGATCGTGATCGAGCGCATAAAAGTGATCAGATTTTTTTATTGGGGCATTTTGGGTGGATTTGGATTCAGAAATACCACGATAGATTTGGTAATGCTTAATCCCAAGATTTGGAGGAGTAACTATTCCTTAAGAATAGGAATCAATTTTTATTCCAGCCAACCAAACATAGGAATGACCATTACAAGGTAATACATATTCCATTCTAACACTTAATACCACATACCAAACACAGCGTTAGGGTATAAATTATAGATTAAACTATAAAGAAGAAAGCAATTAAACAGGCTGTTAGGACATCAACATTACCAATATCAAAAAAATCGTTCACAAACTCCCTCCAACACGGCGGGATTTTGTTTTGACTGGATTTGTCACATAGGAACCAGTAACAGAAGATTAACCTGATGCAAGTAGAACATCAAAAATGCAACAATCTACAAATTCCATACCATGAAATGGGGAACAGTGATCAAAACAGTTTATAATCATAACAATAAGACCGTACACAATAACTTTGGAATTCAACATTTTGTTTGCTTTCAAATTTCCGTAGGCATTACAAGTTCTTAATTCTACATCTCTAGCTTCATCCAACCAGAAAACAGTAAAAGTCGGCATCTGGTTCTTGCATATCAGTAACAGCAAATTTCAAGAAATATAGGTGAATTTCAAAGAATCCCATAATCACCACATCAAGCCACTGACATAATGATATGCTTAGTTCAACTCTTGAGAGGTCATGGCATCATTCGAGAACCAATCTTTTATGCTTCTAAATTTATCATCTCTTCTGGGACTTCAGAAATTTGTACAATCTCCCCATTGGCATAACAAACTTCGGCTGTTTCTTGGACAATACCTTCTGGATTGGTCAAGACACCATCCACCACACTGACCTCAACAACATTCTGCTCATCCTCCATGGCCATATCCTCTCTAAAATCTTCACTGCTACCTAAACTCTCATCAAGAATCCCACTGGAGTCACGGATCCTCTTATCCTCCTGTGAGTCAACAATATCAGAAGGGGTATCTCCCTTTCCAAGAGGAGTTTGACCAAGAACCTTAATGAGTTCATTTCCATCCGCACCAGAGAACTGACTATTATCAGCAGAGTCAAAGCCTTCAGAGCTATTACATACTGGTTTTGCACTCTGTTCATTAGCAAGAGAAGGTCCTCTTGCAGCTGATGGTGTCGTGTGAAATACATCATCCATGGGCAGATTTGCTTTTCCATCAACTACATTGACATCCATTCCATGTTTTGGGCCCACATGAGCTTGCTCTTGAGCAGCATCTATCTGTTGACTTGAAGTATCATTATGGCTTGGGTCAACCGCCATGGCATTCCCAAGCACGTCTGAAGCAGCAACAGGCTCAAGATTTTCGTTGCTTGAAACAACAATTTTGTTCGCTGCAGCCTCAGCCAGCTCAAGAGCATGAATTTTTTCTGATATTTCTTCTTTTCTTTGTGCTTGTATTCTATACTCATCCATGAGTTGTTGTATCCTTTCTTGCTCTGCTAGAAGGTGACCATAGCGTTTCTGTAAAGTTTGCTCAAGTTCCTTCTGCTTCTGAACTTCTTCCCAGAGGCCATTGATCCTGTGTGCTGCTGCTAGGTGCTCTTGCTTTTGTAAAGCTTGGAAGCACTCAAGTTCTGCTCCAGCAGTGTCCATCTGCCTGAAGGTAACCTCAATTTGTGACCAAAGTTTCCCAGCTCGTATCTGCTCATTTACAACCAACCATTTAGACTCAAAAACAATCAAACCAAATGAAAAAACACCAATGAGTCTACGACGTATTATTACTGATTTCAAGTATATGAACATTTGTGGCATGAACAATGAATTTTTTGATTTCTTTTTTTATCTCGAGTAAATTACTGTAAGAAATGGTTCAGATTTTCTTTTTCCCTTTTGGCTAACCAGTAGTGCTACATTACATCGAATCATCGACTCAAACTCTTACCTAAGCCCACTGGAGTGGGACCAAGCAACAGCACAGTACATACTGAATGCATTTTTCTTGGAACCAAAAATTAAAAAAAAAAAAAAAAACTACTTCGAACGATATTAACACCCTCGCAACCAGATAAAGGAGGACTTCTTTTCCTTTATATATAGAAAAAAATCTACTTTAAATGAAGAAGATAATACACTGCTAATCGATGACCCCTCTATATAACAATTAGAACCTTCCAAGATGATTTGGAAAGCAAAAGTGCACATGATTTCAAGTAATTTCCTGGATTGTTGCTCAAAAGATGTATTTCTATAGTGGTGCATTATCTGCAAAAGGGATGAGAAGAGTATTGATCATCGCTTCCTTTATTGTTCATTCGCTTTGCTTTATGGAGTAGGTTGTATGGGTTAGTTAAATTGTGTAGGATTGCTCCAAGATCTTGCAGTGAGATGTTTGAAATTGAGTTTTGGGGTTTTGGAAGAATTAAAAAGCCTAAATACCTTTGGAGATGTGTGGTGATGGCTATGGCATTTGGTTGGAAAGAAATGCAAGAGTTTTTGAAGACATAAATGAGGTGGTGGATGCTATTTGGGATAAAAAATTGTTGGTTTGCGTTTCAAAAAATAGTATCCGAAAATAATTTTTGAGAAAAATTTTAAGAAAATAGTTTTGATACTTTTTGAGATAAAAAACTTATTTGATTAGGATGATTTTAAAAACAATTTTACAATACAGAAAATAGTAAAACCTGTTTGGACAACCTAAATATATGTTTGAACAGTAATTCAATTATTAATAAAAAATAAAAAATAAAAAGGTCATTTTTAGATTGACAATTTCATAAAAAAAAAATTCAATAAACCAAACTTTAAAATATATATATATATACACACACAATATATACATAATATATATATATATACCCCTCACACACAATATATATATATATATATATATACACACACAGTATATATATATACAATACACACAATATTTATATATATATATACACTACACACACAATATATATATATACACAGTGTCTTCAGATCTGAAGAAGAAGAGAGAGAGACACATTGGAGAAGAAGACGTTTGGAGAGAGAGAGGAAGAAGACAGAGATCTGATCTGATCTAAAGTGCTTCGGTGCTCCCGTGTCTTCAGATCTGAAGGAGAGAGAGAGAGACGCGTTGGAGAAGAAATCGTCTGGAGAAAGAGAGGAAGATGGAAAAAAAAAAGAGGAATGAAGACTTTTGCTGCTAAAGGGACTCAAAAGGGTAGACCTCATTAAAGTCCAAAATTGTTCTCCTTATTTCCAAAATTTGCAAAGAAAACTCTGAAAACAAGCGTACGCTTGTTTTCTATTTCTTTCACTCAAATATCATTTTTTTCTAAAATTTTGAGAACAAAAATACTAAACAAACAAGTTTTGGATGTTTTTAAAATTTTGAGAACAAAAAACTGTTTTCGAATCACAAACCAAACATGGCCTAAGCTTTTTTGGCTTACTTTAGGGTCTTTCTGTGCCGTCACTTGTTCGGAGTTCCTGTATTTTTTATTATAGCAGATTGGAAAGCCGTGTAAGATATGTAATCTTCATATTTTACATACGCTTTTATGTTGCTTCATATTGAAGGCCTTCTCATACCTTGTGTAATCCTTTTTCACTATTAATAAAATGCTTCTTGTTGATTATGAGAGAGAGAGAGAGAGAGAGAGAATGTGACAAATAGACGCAACCTAAGTACACAAGAAACAGATGAGTAAATCCATATAAAAAAATCTACTTGAGCATTTCTTGCACATTTTTAAGAAACTAATATTAAAACAACAAAAAATTTCCGAGAATTGGAAGTATACCTGGTAACCATTCGTAAGAAGTTTTATCTTCTGCTCAAGACGTAGTGCCTTCTTATTATCGTCATCCATCCTCCTCTTAACATTCTCAAACTCATACTGCAGGGCAGCGAGCTTATCCATGTTTCCAGCAACACTAGAAAGACCATAAGCATTACGGGTGGGAAAGTACATGATATCGTTTAAGCAAGTTCTGTGTGCTTCAACAAATTCATCAATGGATTCAGTCTCATGCCCCATTGCCACAAGAAGAAAATGAGCCTCTTCCTTGACAATATGATCAGCCTGCAAAATTGGAGTGCATTGCGGATTATAGACGAAGCTGAAGATTAAAAGTAATTGCAGGTTCAAGTTTCACACAATACGCAAATGAGCCAATCCAGAGACCCAATATATCTCAACCAACCCAGTAAAAGGCTGATCACCATAGAACTTATTCTGCAAATTTATTCTAAACACAAAAAATCCCATCACACTACATAAATCCTCAATTTGAGGCTTAAAGACCACTTTAGCCAACACCACAACGCATCACACGTTAAAACAGTCGAATCTGGCTATGACATTCATTGACAGAAGGAATGCAGAAGCAAAAGGAAGTACTACAACTTTAATATGATGACTAGTTATTAAACAAGGTCAATGCTCTAAATCTTACATGAAGTTACAATTCTATTCTAAGTTCAAATTCTGCTTTAGAACCTTGCTTTTATGTTAACTCCATCAACAAGAAATAAGAGGATACAAAAACAGTTTCTATCAATGCCTTGCAGACTATGAGAAAACAGGTATCGACAACTGATATAAACAATCATGCATACCAATTAAAACAGTAACATAAGGGTCAGTAACTCTCGTCAACAACTCTTCCTCTCAGTCAGTCCATATAGGCTCTATTGAAAGTCACTAATCCACAATGATATTGCTAAAAATCCATGCATCCAATTTGTGGTATGGTAAGTTACTGAAAATAGTTGGCTTGAAATATATACTGTGTTACAATACCAGCAGGTACGCAGCGAAAAATGGTCTACCCAACTTAAAAGCCAGAAAAAAAAAATGATTAATTTATTTGCTGGATTTTCTGCTGCCAGCTGCTTCCAAGACCTCTTTGCTATGAACCATATCTATTTACAATTTGGCCTATGGGCCATGTTTCATATAAGCCTTGTGTACGAAATGATGCAGGATTATGTTATTTATCCTGTTATGGAATAAGTTATCTATAACGTCGTCACAGGACATAATCATCAGTCCTACAAGGGTGATATGTATTAGTAGTGGTTGGAAGTAGACATGATGGGTTGAGTATAGCAGTAGTTGCTAGCTATTCAATTTTAATCAAGAGGGTGCCAAACAATCCTATAGACAAGGATAAAAACATGGGAAGAAGAGGATATATTACAAACCACAAATATAGATCTGTCACAAAATATTGCATCACTTGGAATATATCGCAAAATAATAATTATTTAGAAAAATATCACAAAAGTTTCAAAAAGAATACATCACAACCTTGACACAATAAGTATATCAACCGATATGCCGCAATATTCACAGATAATTTCATCCTTGCCTAGAAAAGAAGTTAGATCTAAGTAAAAACACTTGAATAATAACCTTCCCTCAAAAAGGCATTGTTCCTCATCACCACAATCACATGTCCCACAAAAAGCACAAAACTAATTTGGGAGTAGAGTGTAGTACTTTCAGTAGGGCTTATGGAACAATATCAACGAAGCTTGATGAAGCAATTTCCCATATTACAAAGAATTATGAACAAAGCTGGACATGGCCTTGTATGCAAGAAAATATGCTAAGCAACTCTCCATTGACCTACTTCACAGAATTCCAGCAAATGGATGCCAAGCAGACCAATAGCCATGAAAACTAGGTCCAGAGAAAGGACGGTCATCAGCAGATCATTTGCTAAATCAATGTGAACAAGGCAGGCCATCCAAACCCACATGCAGCTGGGTTTCCCCCATGTCAAATGTAAAGATCCCAGAATACATTAATTGTGCATAACTATATTCTTTTACTTGTGGTCAAATACCAGTAAATCAAAGGATGGTGATAGAACTCTTTAACCCAGGGGAAAATGACGCGAGTTTAGATGGGCAAGAGAATCAACTTGGAGCTCATGTTCAAAATCAGTTCTCTATGAGTCCACTGGTCATTGGTTCCAACTTAATGATTCAAATATACTCCGGTCAAACACCCAAACATTGGAAGGGACAAAGGAAGGAAGGAAGCCTTTGCCAAAGTTGCACAAGAAGGTATCTACTGCTATTAAAGTGTGTTGGGGTGGTTTTGAGTGTGGCGTGTACAGAGAGGAATGCATAGATAACTTCAGACAAGAACTCCAAGGATAATAATTCCATACTCCACACAACAATCCAATCTGAAATTATAGAAAAAAGAGGAATGCCAAAAAATGAACTCTATCTCATAAACTGCCTCCACCAATTCACTTCTACCATTGAATAAAAAACCTCTAGCATTTCTCTCCAATCAAAAAACCCAAAACAATACCTAGAAGTGCACACTTCCAAAAGGGTGACAGCATTTTGATCCCTTCAAAAATCTCTAACACATTCCTCAATCAGAGAAACATGGCGTCTAGAAATCACCCATCTCGCTCCTGCCAAAATTAGTTTCAGCTACAACCCAATGCAGCCAAACAGTGAAGGAAAAGTTGATTATTTGAAGCTACAACCCGATACGATACAGATACGGCGATACGACAAAGTCTAAAAAAGAAGGATACGAGTACGGTCAAGATACGACTATAATAAAATATATTTAATATTTTTATTATTTTCAACCAAATTAATACTTATATATTTTGGTAGTTCTTTAACACAATAAGAAAAATTAGTAATTCTTTTTAGTTTCAAGAAAATATATATCGTATCACTATGGTATATTCACAAAGTGAACTGATTAATTAAAAGAATCAAAGCTAATATTTACCTAGTATTTAGAAGTAATTTTTGTTAAGATTATAATGTAATAACTATATTTTATACTCTTTTGACATGTAATTGTAGATAATACTTAAAAAACACTCATATGTCTTTGAAGTAATATGAATTTTTGTTAATGTATTATATGGCATGTGAATTCGAACAGATATGTTAAAACTTCAACTCAAAATTATATATGTTGCTCGACCACAAAAGTATAAGTGAAGTATCATAATATTTAATTATTATCGATATATTTAATCATACCAAGCTGCATGATTGTCTTCCATTCTGCAGCAAAGTTAAATAGATCTCTTCTTTAAACAAATTATGACATTCAATTTAGTTTCAACTTGCAATTTTTCTAGTTTAACCCATTACTTTAACATCACAAAGTCACTCTCACTCTCTAATTGACACAGATACAAGGAACTTTAATCTTAGATGCTCAAAATTATCTAAAATGAAGTGAAATAATAACTACCTGAGTAGAAATATCATGGACCAAGTATATGAACAGCAATGTGCATGTGTCTTCTTTTACATGGAGATTAGTGAATCAGAATACCATAGTGCCACAAAGAATTATGCTCCAACGGCAAACTCCACAACCACTTCCCTAAAAACATTATATTTCTCCTAAGCAAACTCCCCACTACTAGTACCCCTTTTAATTTGCACCCAAACACTACATCCCAACCAATTAAGTGATCAGTTTTCCCTTCATTACTTCCTTCCAATAAAAGTCCCTTGTCATCTTGTCATCTTCTCAATCATTTTTCTACCCTACCCGAAAATCTTGATAAGAGACAAAAAATAAAGAGGAATGCTAGCCAAAACCATCTATCATGGGACAAACAGAGAAAGGTGTTGGGATGAAAGGGAAGGGGATGTATTTGATGGATAGGGTAAAGAGACTTATTTAGCTGGAAATGAGAAGATAAGTTAGGCCTCAAAGAGCACAAAAATGGAATAAATAATGACTTGGAATTTTAAGGTGGTTTGTGTTGGAGAGAGATTATTACAAAAATTTGAAGGTATTTTCAATCAAATAAAGCAATATTTTTTTCAGCGAAACTCCAGAACAAGTTGGTGGAATTTGCAGGTTAGAGAAGTGCTATTTGGAAGGGCCATTTCTAGTGCATCCTCAAAACCATAAGTGACCTATGTTTGAAGTGTGACCTCCTTTCTGGGTGGTTGGATGGGAGTTTAAGGGCTGTATTTTCACTTCATCCCTATCAACGGATTGGGTATAGGGGCCTATATAGTTGGAAATCATAAGGGAAATTGGATCTCTAACAACACAAAAAATAGAAATAAATAATGATGGAAAATGGAATTGTGTGGGGTTTGTGAAAAAAGAGTTTATTAAAGAAATTTGAAGGTCCTTCCAATCAAATAAATCCATACATTTTTTTTGTTAAACTCCAAAACAAGTTGATGGACTTTGTAGGTTTGAGAGTGCCGTTTATGGTGCGTCTTCAAAACCACAAGTGAACTCTGTTAGGAGTAGGAACTCTTTTCTAGGTAGTTGGATGGGAGTTGAAGGGCTGGGTACTTTCGTTAGTTACGGGAAGGGCAGCTAAGCTCACTAATCTATCTAATCTTTTCTTGTTGTGTGTACGTGTAGCAGCCGAAGCTTGGTCAATGCAGTAACCTCCTGTTTCGGTAGTCGGCTCATATAAATCATGCCTTTTCACTTGTAAAAGAGATAAAGGTTTAAGAAGATTGAAGATTGTGTGGTGGATTCGAAGAAAAAGATTCGAGGGCGCAAAACTTGTGCAATCTGTTTAAAGCAAGAATCCAGGTTCACAAGTCCTCATCTGACTACATTCCGGCACCTCTATAGTATCAAAGTTAGGGAGATTTCTGAGCCTAAATGTGCAGATCGCAATGACTCGTGGAAGAAATTTGCTGCAGAGTACACAAAAATCCCAAACACCAGTCGGGAGGTTAAAGTTGGCTGGTTCAGAGAAATGAATGAAGTGGAAGGAAGGAGGTAAGAGAGTACAAAGCTTTCATGAACTCAAAGGTATGGTGAGGAGTTTGGGTTGAATGTAAGTCAAAAGAAGTGAGAACTTGGGCCAACACCTATGTTGTTGATATTAGTTTCATAGTGAGAATTTCCAAGTTAATGGTCAAGGATAATTTAAAATTTGATAATCAGAGTATGGTGACTTTAAGGCCTTAAATGCAATAAGTTGTACCAGGAATGGGGGAAACATGGGTTTAGGTTAGGATACTAGGCAGAATCACGTGTACAACAAGGAAAGATGCTAAAACGATTTTGCACTAGATTACAAAACTAAAAAGATCGACAATCAGGCTTTTCTAAGAGAAATGGGCCAACAAGCTTTGTTGGATCATTCAAGCCAAAGGATAGGGTTTACTTTTAAAATAATTCTAAATGTTGGCCAAGCCCAGAACCCAAACCTATCAGCTAATAACCAAGAGCCGATAAAATGAGACCTTGTTCTTCATCCATCATTGCGGTTGGTTCAAATGTGAAGTCGGAAGGCAATCTAACAAAGATTTCCAAAAAATGATTCTTCGAATTAGAGGCCTAATGTTGGACAAGGGTCAGGGTATGATGGTTCAATCACAAATGGAGAAAGCTGATCCTGTTGAAATAAGGCAAGATATCTTGAGCAACTTGGCTGTGAAGGAGCTGGAGTGCATCAATGAAAAGTGTGAATTCATGGAAGAGTTAGTCCTGCTAATGCATCAATTAAGGCTGGAAGACATTGATGTAAGAATTTTTTACACTAATGAAGTTCGATCAGAGATGGAGGATATCAGTAAATCTGAGGGAGACAATAATCAAAGCTACATTGACCAACAAGTGAGCTAAGAGAAGTATTCTAGGGTAGCCAAAAAAATAATGGAATGGGGAATCTATGTGATGAAATTGAGGCTGGGTCTGCTGACAATAAACTTATATCTCATCAGGTAACTTTCCTGATAACATAGATGATAATCTTATAATAATCGAAGGGTGAAGAAAAAGAATGTGGAAGTTGGGAATCTTTCTACATCAAACATCCACTAATCCCTTCTCCGTCGATCTCCAAAACCTTTTGCTTACAAAAGAAAGTCTAAAAATCTCATTCCGCATGATTATAAGCTTTTTCAAAATCAATTTTATGTGCAATCCCTTTCATTCCCCCTGATCAATACTTCTTCATCACCTCATTAGCCACTAGACCTATACCTAATATTTACATTTTTTTAACGTGTGCAACATTTACAATTATTTACAAAGACTTGTTACCCAACTAATTGGCCTAAATCACAAATTTTGAATGATTTATCTTTTCCTGAAGACAGCAGATGAAATTAACATTTGTATCACCATTCATCACACCACTTAGGAAAAAATACAATACCTACCCTTGTCAAATCATTGTTGATCACCTCCCAGCAATCTCGGAAAATAGTCATTTTAAACATATCTGGGCAGTGTCTTATCTCTACTACACTCAAAAGTCACTTGCCTAAGTTCCACTTCATCAAATGGTCCTTCCAACCATCTTCCTTTAAACTCTTAGATAGGACTCCAATCAAATCCCACCAATCCTCGCCTTCTACCTCCTTGAGATCAGTCGAGTTTAGGGGGGAAAAAAGAATTTATAACTCCTATCAATACAGTTCCTATCATCAGCCATCATACCACCATCAAACGCCATTCTTTAATTACTCAGACCATCAGCCACTATGAAAAAGTCTAGGATTTATGGCACCCTGCTTAATGCATTTGTCCTCTGCCTCCAACTAATATCTTCCTTTAACACTAACTCCTCAAACTTGTTCCTAAGATTACATCTTTCTTTCTCAATTTATACCCTCAATTCTTCTCAATATTAAAATCACCCAATTTTTTACATACCGAACAAAATCCTTCTTGAAACTTTTAATATTTGCTTGACATTACCCAACTTTGTCATAAACCTGGAACCTTCCAACCCTGACACCTAACCTCCTGCCATCAAATCCTCCAATTTATTTTCCGCAAACTCGAAATCACTCCTTCCCTAATGTGGCCAACATTCCCGAGAAATCCACTTAAGATAATTCATTCCCCAAAAACACAAATTCATGTCACTATTCTAAACAAGTAAAACACATGGAGAATTTGTAATTGAATCATTTCCATTGCCTTTCAAATCTAAACTATCAGAATTTGAAGAAGACGACACCGGTTCTTTTGCTAGCACATGTTCACTCAAATTTTGCAAATTTGGGACTAAAGAACCTTCCTACCCCAGACAGCACAAGAATTCCATTTCTAGTGATATATTAGACTTATGGTGCACAATCAAAATATTCATATGTGCAATAGGAAACAAATCAATGAATGAACATACTTTACGACTCCATTCAGAAGAATTAACCATCATTGTGTTGAACAAGTTCCCATCATCAAAATCATGTCTCACGATTTTCATTCATCCTCTGAAAGTGATGTTTAACCCCCTTCACTTTCCCCCGAACTTCCCACAAACTTAGAGTACCATTCATTTTGTGCAAAAACATCACTTAAGTTAACTTGTCCAATATTGATTGAACTAGCTGGAGACTCAACCCATTGAGTAACATTCTGTTCCGTTAATTAAAAAAAAAATTAAATTAAAGAACTACATTTTTATTGGCAAAACGTATAGACTATTGGCGTCATTTTATAAACTTATGTTTTGAGGTTGAAATATGGTTAAAGAACATGGAAGGATGCAAGTGCAAACTTATTATCAAAAATAGAAACTTGCCCACTTACATGGAAGTATAGTAGATGGAGTAATAAATTAAGTGGACACTTGTCCACCCTAGCATGGAAGGGTGGCATATGGTGTAATAAATGGGGTCAACACTTGTCTAGGAGTTATCAAAGTGCTATGTGACTAAGCCTTGTGCGTGCATTTAAAGTGTTATAAATATAAAAATGGGTGATCTACTAGTGAAGTGAACCAAGAAGAAAAAAAAAGAAAGAAGAAGAAAGGGACAAAGAGAAGGAAGGGAGGAACAATAGCTAAGAAAGAAGCAAGGAAGGAGAGAGAAAGTAAAAAGAGAAAAAGAAAGAGAAACAAAACGTGAAATTAATGAAGTGAAAATCCGTGGGTTTAGCATGAATATCGGAGAATGATTTTAGTCCCAAATTCTACAAAACTTGTGTATGTTGCTCCTAAGATAGTGGTGATCAAATTCATCGGTATCAATTGTTGGTTTGAAGTACAAGATGTATGCAATATGCCAATATGCTCTTTCCTAAATCCATTTGAAAAGAGTATTTTCTTGAATATTCTTGAGTCGTACTCTATATGATCTATTAATTTTGATTCAAAGATTTAATTTGATTTGTTTTGACATCGTGATCATGTTTTGTATGTACTATGTGGATACATAGAGGGTTAGGTTGTGGTGGCCAAGATTTATAGACCAATGGCTTGGACCTGAGTTGGCAAGCTTGGTTGAGGTGAGCCCAGGTGCAACAAGGTGCTAGATCTATGCCTAGGACTTTCATGACATGTGATATGGATTGAAAGACTAAGATTTGTTGATTGATCTAATATTTGAAAATTTTGTTTTATTGTCGATTTGACTTGAAACTTGTATCCTTTGATCACATTATTTCATGTCATATTGTATACTTCCCCATTACATTTATTTTTCAAATTGTAGTGTGAGAAAAAATCAGGATCGGAAATATGGAGATAATAGAAAATTCGTAAATTGTTAAAAGTTATGATGATTAATTTTGATATTCGATGGATTGTAAACTCTATTCAAGTTGAATGGTTATTATTGGTCATTTATTCGTATATTTTGGAGACACTATTCCAGCATTCATAATTGTAAATCATGTTGAGATAACTAGAGCTCTTAACTTTGTATTTAGATATTAATTTATTGGATAACGTGCCCAAGAAATCGGGATATTATAATTTTGGTATTGTGACATTTGGTCTCTATTACAATATAAATTCAAAATATTAGAGTTTAATTTTAGAGTTTGACCATGATGAAAGAGTTTAATTTTATTTAGAGATCAAATTATCTATATTTAGAACTTAGGAGTACACCAAAAAAAAAGGCAAAGGATGGACAAGTGTCTATAACATGCTGCCATGTCTTATGCTTTCAAGCATGACTAGCAAAGTAAGAGATAGGGTGGCTGTTTTCTAAAGTAGATGGGAAAATAGAATTAAAAAAATTGATAGGTGTCCAAACCAAATAAGGTGTGTGCATGGATGCTAGGTGTCTTGGTGCTATGTAGTGCATGGAGTCCGTGACAAGTGTGTGGATGTGTTATCTTTAGAACTAGTAAGTGAAGGTTATGGACGTGTATAGCTTAGAGAAGGAAAAAAAAAAGGTAAAGAAAAAAAAATAATTAAAAAATTAGAAGCGGTCCAATTACATGCACATTTGAATTAACAGGTGTACACTTAAATAGAGGACACGTGGCATAACCATGCAACAACTTGCACCCAAGAAATTAGGTCTATAATGGAGGAGCTTGGGCATCCTAATGGATGTCCAAAATCAGCAAGAAATGAAAGGAAAGAGGAGAGAGAAATAGAAATCCATGAAGCTCATCAAAATCAAACAGCAATATAAACTTTGATTGAAGTGAAACTTGGGTATACTATTCTAGAAGTACTGATGACAACATCTATCGAACTCGATTTATGGTTTGGTAAGATCTCTATGGTCAAAATCAAATGGTACTTTATGGTTTGGTGTTTATGAAAACTAATTTTGTTTGTGTGGCATCTAGGTCCTTGGATTACTCAGATTTTGATTTGATTGAGGTTATAAAATGGGATACCAAACAAAGACTAATCGGAAGCATTGGTAGGTTTTTCTTATTCTAGGATGAACTCGGATTTTCATACTATTATAATGCTTCTATTAGTTTGGAAATATTATAAAAAAAAAAGTTTATTTCATTCTAATCTGTTTATTTGCAAATAGTGTTATTTCTCGTCCAATTTGTTTTTGGATACTATATAGATATATATTTTTTATTAGGCTACGGAATGATGATTTTCTAAAAATAGTTTTTGATAAAAGTATGTGCACACAGGATTGGGTGGCAAAGGCCTTATTTCGCATGTTGAGACTTGGGACCTAGAGGGTTTCATGGGGCCAAAAGAAACTGGTCACATAGTGGCCTTCAGACTTAGGTACTAGGTGATACTTAGGGAGCGTATCTTCCTTGGGGTGAAAATCTCCTAAAAAGTAATTTGATGATATGATGTTAACATTGGAATGTCATTGGAATTATTACTTTGTTCTCTAGTGTGGCACAAAAATTTATATGCTCCACAAAGAATCTTTTTATTGATGTTATCCAACGTACTTTTCGGATAACTAAAAAAGTATCTATTTTCAAACCATCCTATTGAGCATATTGTTTACTCACCCTATGTTGTTGATATCTTTTTCAAAGATATCAAAAACCATCCCAATATTTGGTCAGCAAGTTAGTTGGGCAGAGGCGAATCAGTTCGAATGTTCGTGAGAGATTTCTTACATGATTTAGTTTTGAAATGTTCGGAAGCTTGTGATCATACGATCATTAAAAAACTGTAATTTTTGAAAGTCGTAACATTAATTACTTTTGGTTCAATTCAAGAATTAGATTTGTGTTATTGAGGTTATCAAAGCTCTGAATGGTACGAATTGGGCCAGGGTGTGACACATCCTCCATGGAAGTTATGCTTGCTATATAATTAACATAATACTCGAACTTTTCAAAAGTTGTAATATGTTGAGTAGCAGGTTGTTGGTGTGATGTGAAAGTGCCAAATATTCAACACAGAGACATATATGCCTTCAGTCAAGCCCACCCCCAGATTGGTACTTGCATATGCATGTTCAACATATAGAGAAAACATGATTCCCAAAAATTAGGCCTAGTGTTCTATAGTGAGGTTTTCAGTGACATCTAAAATCTTTGACAATTTTCAACCCTCCTCTTTGAGAAAAAGTTAAAAATTAACTTGTTGGCTAGGAAGCACGGATACTCGCTAGGGGTCTATGTGGTCGTGTCGGACACGTGTCAGACATTGATACGCGTGGGACACGGCCGAACATGTTTCTGACACTTCTAAAAGTGTCCTGAATAAGCAAAGCAAATTTTTTGAGTCGGATACGGGAGGGACACAACAATAACTCAGTGCAAGTCAGTCTTAACTTAGTGGACTCAAACAAACTCGTAACCGAGTTAGTTGATTCATGATGGGATCCAACAAATCAGTCAAAAACAACAAAAAAGAAGAAAAAATTGAAACCAAACCTACAAAATCAAGCCATGTCGAGTTTCTGTCATCCTCTTCTTCATCTTCTTCACCATATGGTCGTGGCTCCTCCACTGCTTGACCGCCTTCAATCGCGTAAGTTGGTAATCTCACTCTCTGTGAACCAAAGCATTGTGGGGTTTTGATTTTTGGGTGTAAGAGTTGAAGGGTTAGGTCTGGGAGTGGAAGGATTTTTTTAAGGTCAGCTGGTCAGAGACATAGGAGTTAAAAGAGTGATTTTATTTTTTTTGGATCTGAGGAGTTAAGACTTAAAAAATTTTACTATTATTAGTTATAAGACTTTATTTTATTACAGCTATATTGGTAGGTTGTGAATAATGTTTCGTATTTTATTTTGTTATTGTTTATTTTAAAGAGATTGTATTTTTTTAGTTATTATTAATGTTGTTATTATACATATAAAAATATATTATATTATTTTAATTAGTCGTATCATTGTCGTACCCATGTCCTATATCTTAGAACTTTATCATATCCCTGTGTCCATATCGTATCAGATACGACACCTGTATTCGTATTCGTGCTTCATAGCTCATTGGATATTGGAAGACATTTCACTGGTTTGGTTTGTCTATTATAGTATAGATGTGAAATAGAAAGCATCATGGAGTAATGAGATCTCTATGCCAAGAAGAATTAGTTGATTAAAATATATGGGGAGATGACTGAAACGGAGTATTGCCTTAAAAAGGATTATGCCTATATCCAAAAAAAGTAGGCTGAAATAGGTTAGTCCCATAACCATTTTTGGAAAGAGAAGCTAACATTTAAGCCCATCAATACTCTTGTGCAGTAAGGATTCACGTTAGGTTCCATCGTCTCTTTAGAAAAATGTCAACAATTAATGTCTCTTCATTTTGGGAACTGAAGGATCATGAATACCACCATTCATTCATTTTAATTTCCTGATGCATTAGTCATAAACCTAACTCTGAGTACATATGAAATTAGAACATGGACTGAACCAAAGTGCTAGAGATATTAAACCAACTTTAGAAAAAAAGAGTGCAAGTACAAGATTTATGGGAAAACCAATGACTTGAAAAAATTTCACGATACATGTACCTCTTTCAGCTCATCTTCTTCAAAATCTTCAATCATAGTGACAGAAGCAGATTTTTTATTTGCAGCCCGCTTGACTCCTTTCTTTTTCTCCTTGTCCACTTTCTCATCAAGTGGATACTTTACATTATCATGCTCTAGTAAGGATAGAAGCTCCTTTCTTATCATCTCATCTGCCTGCTCAATCGAAGTAGGAGGGACAAAGGAGCTCTTGTCCTCATCAGATCTCATCAAAGAATTTTTAATCAGCTCCAATGAAGCAGCAGGGGGTCTAGGTAACTCCCTTTGCAATACTTTCGATCTCTTCCTAAGTAATGCTTGCAACCTTGCTTCTTCCTCAGCTTTCTCTCTTGCAATCCTGTCAGACATGTCTTCTTCGATCTTCTCCTCTGGATCCTCATTATCTTGTGGAACAGGTTGGACAACTATCTGGTACTCATTCTTTGGTTGTGGAAGAGTGCTAAAACCAGAGCGCAGGTTCTCTTTCAACTCAGCTTGTCTTCGGCGCTCAAGCTTGGCAGTATCATGGATTTCCATATCTTCATTAATGTGTAGCTCATCCCTCAGGGGAGTTCCTTTTGGGGTCATACCAAAAGAATAGCCATCCCTAGATGGTGTCATGCCAATTCTAGGAGTAAGACCCATCCCTCCGGGAGTTGCTGAAGGAGTCAACATTGGATTCGGCGTTTGGATATCCCTTTTCTGTGGAGTGACCCCTGAAAAATCGGACGGATGCAATTCTGGATTCTCTCCCCCTAATAATGGGGTCTGAGATTCTCTCATCCTGGCTGCATTTTGTGCTTCCATCATAATAGCATCGCCCTTACCTGCAGGTGTTCTTTGTGGGGTTCGTAATGGGGTTATTCCATGCCATGGTGTCTGGGAATTATTTGCAAGGAGTGCACGTGTAGCAACACTCCCTTCTGTGAATTCTTCGCCTGCAAGTTCGCCAGCATAACCTAACTTTGCAATTGCCTCCAAATCCTGGTCCCCCATCTGTGGCGCAGGCAGATTCAGTTTTGGCCGCTTCCTAATTGCTTCTGGATCATTAAGCATGTTAGCTTGCAGTATAGCCGACGGTGCATCCTGCCTCTCCAAAATTTTATTCCGAGCAATATCTTGCTTTCTTAATCGTGCTTCCTTATCAACCCTTCTTTCACCTTCAAGTTCTTCGATGGTAGTTGGGAACTTAGGTTGTTCCACTGATCGGTCTTCATCAGTAATATCATAAAATCCAGGAGGCGGCTTCTTCTCAAAAGGGATTTCAGTATTATAGTCAATCCCCCTCCTTTTCCTCCTCCTTTGCCTAGTATTAATTCCAGCTGCCTTTAGTTCTCTCCTTTTTTGCAATGAAGCAAGCCTTCTAGCCTCTTCAAGTTGCTTTTCCCTGGCTTTCCGTTTCGCCTTCTTGCCTCTAGTGTTGGCTAACCGTGCTCGTGCTTCTGAAAGCATTTCTTTCTCATCCTCGTCCATATCAACAGGGTCAGGACGTGCAGGCTTTGATTCTGGATTTGGGTCAATCTCTCCTGGACGCAATTTCCGTGGATCATCACCTGGCTCATAGTTCTCATCCTTGGCACATGCTGCATCAAGGAGTTTCTCATAACGTTCAAGGCACTGGGATGGAGTACGGCCAACAATTGGGGCAATTGTTCTCCACTGTGTGGGCATGAGCTTAGCAAGATGTAGTAGTTTCTCATCTTCTTCTCTGGTCCACTCAGTCTACAGAGAAAAGACTTTTTATTAGCTCCTTATTTAAAAAGGGAAGTTTTCACAGGGATGTAAAACAGAGCTGAGAAGTAAATAAAAAATGAAAACAACACAGAAAATGGGAAAGGGATGATGAAAAGTAGAGAATGCAAATGTTTCAATAATATAATAAAACTTTCATTGCTTATCAATCTTAAAGTGCAAGATTCACTTTATATGTTGTATTGTCTAACTAGGTTCATTTGCAAAATATAAAGGACTCAAGGGATGTCTGACGCAGCGCACATGGCATGGCATAGAAATGGATGTGAAGATGATAATGTTTCTATGCACACAATTCATCAAATGGAGTTAGATCACAGTACAATTCTGATTTTAGGCTTTGACTTATTTTCACTAAAAGAGGTCTTTGCTTATCTATAATAGACTAAGATATGTATTTCAGGAAAATATAGCTCAATTAGAATTGTAAAACATAGCAGGCATATTGAAAAATAACTAACTTGAACTAGGTCATGCTAAGTGTGAACAGTGCAAAGTCTGAGCACAGCCAAGAGCAACCCTCTTATGGGGCAAACTGCCCCCCCCCCTCTTCAATTTTGTTTGCAAAAAACAATTCATATAGGTTTCAATATATTTTTAATTTGCCCCCATAAAAAATCTCATACATTTTAATTTATTTAATCATTTTTTATGTTTGGATTTATATCTTTACTCTCAGTTAAGTGAATTTAAATAAGGTTTTAAATCCCTTAACCTGTGTTCAAGAAATTATCTTGAAGCTCTTTATTCTCCCTCTCTATCTTGCCCCATTTCTCTCAATGTTGTTAATGTTAATCTATTAACCAGTAAGATTATCATGCAATATTTTTATAATATGAAAATCAATAGGTAACAACTGTAAGGTAAGGTTGCTCCATTATTATCTAGTCGTTAAAAATTCAAGTTGCAAAAACATCCTCTCATATGCGGAGAAAATTTGCATATATTTGTCCTTCCGGTCCTTCCCAATACCTTACAGTATCAAGATCTCGCACACTGTGTCACTCCTTTTTATTTAATATTAATTCAATTTTTTTAAACTCACGGATGTTAAAAGACAAATGCTATTAGGATATAATTTTATGACTTAATTTGGAAATTTAATATCTATATAATAAAGTAGAACAATTTTGAATCCAAGAGACAAAAAGCAACTAAGATCATTTCGTGACTGAAAAAGACATCATCCAGCAGACGATGTTATCCCAAACTGTCTTGAACTATTGACATTTTAGATCATCTCAAAATTTTTGATCCGACGTACCAAATTGACACCTGAAAAATTTAAGCCCGCCTAAACATTTTAATTTTCAAATTCCTTAAATCACTCTACTTAATTTGTCCTAATATTCTACCCCCAACCAAAAAAACAATCGCTTCTCTCGCCCTATCTCTATTCTCTATCCAACTGTGCCCCACTCTTTCTATTCTCTCCACCGCCACTCTCCTCTATCCCAAGCCACGCCAAAGACAACGCCAACGAATCCAGCGATGTTGCGTTCTCTCTCTGTCTGACTCTATCTAACTGTTGTATCTCCGTTGTTCATTCTGTGCGCACAGCACACCAGGAACCTCACAGCTCTCTATTTCTCACCCACTCCGTCTATCTCTCTGCTTCTCTCTCTACGCTGACTGCTCAACACACAAGACATACACATAACACGCACCAAAGTTAATCGACAAAATGTGCCTAACTCTATTCCTAACTATATGCACACACTCATCTCACCCCACAACACAAAGCACGCACAGCACATAAACACACAACATATCATATACAAACAAACACACACAACACACAGCACACATACGCGCACATCATACACAATTATAACAAAAAATCAAGCTCAGATTCTGTCTCTCGGTCTCTATCTCTCTCTCTCTCTCAATCTATGCCCATAATCTATTCGACCAAATGCCCCAAATTCATGCTCACAGATTCTGCTCGATGAATACATTAGAAAAAGTGATGTCTCCTTTATAGAAGTTCACTGGGTCTATGGATGTAATAATGTTGGTTTTGAATATAAAATGGAATTGAATTGTTAGTACACTCTTGCTGCCAAAAATTTGTTTAGTATATTTGGTCATCTCTTAGCTTACCTCTACTTTCTTCTATTATAACCATCCAACAGCTATGATAGCTTCCAAGTTGGCAGCATGGTGCAAGATAGAGTTGTCTACAGCTTGGTTGAATTATATGTTATATTAGTTTCCATTTCTTAGAGTACAAGATAGAGCTGTCCTTATAGCCATAAAGATTGCTATTTATTTTTACCTTGCAAACTGATGTTGCTATATTGTTGCCGTCTTCATTTGGAAATAATATAATTTTACCTCTTTCCTTTGCTTTGCTGATAATTAGTTTCCATTTCATAGCAGGAAAAACCAATTGATTTATAGCACTTAAGGAATCATGCTCGCTCAAAGGTAAGCCTATTAGTTCCATTTATTCCATTAAAAACATATGGCTTACTCATTAGAAATTGTGATTTTTATGCTATTGTGATTTTCTACTGTATACTCTACTATTGATTTTTCTTTTGATTGATATGAATTTACTGTTTTTCCATTTTGTGGGTATAATAAGTTGAAATTATGTCCCTTTTTGATGGGTTTTTTCACCTGTTCTTATCGATTAGATCAGGGTTGTTTTTCTGACATGGACAAGCATGTCTTTTTCTCCCTCAAGCTCTTTCTTTTTAAAATTTTTCATGTTAGTTTTGGATTTTGTAATGACAAGAAATTTTGTAAATGACTATTTGTCCAATGGTAGTCTACATTTCAAATTTATATGTTTGTTTGGAAATTTCTAGAAGAGTTTACATTTAAGGAGAAAAAAAACTAAATTTTACTTGGGATAAGAAAATATCATAACACTAATGATTTGTAGAACTTTGTGAAAAGTGTGAGCTTTGAACTTTGTGAATTTTTTGTAGTTGTCGGAGTAGATAATTGAAAATGAGTCATTGAGTGGGAATAAGAGTTTTTGCAAATTTCTAGGATCCTATTTTCAAAGAAAATTTTTCCGAATTTTTTTACAGAAATAGTGGACCCAAATTGGTCTCAAATGTGTAATTAAAGAAAGAAAAGAAAAATAAATTGTCATTTAAAATGTTTATATTATACGACCCCCGCTTCATTTTTGTGTGTTATATAGTGCCTTCAAATATGAGTTGTTGCTAGATAAAGATAGATAATGAATAGAATTCTCTTTAGATTGGGGTGGCCTATAACATGTTTGTTGCATGTGAATTTTTTTTTTTCTCAAAGTAAATTGAGTTTTGACATTTTTTAGGATTAAGGGTTTTTCAAGCGATTATATCAAAAACAGTTGAGCTCAAGACTAGACAATTTGTTTCGGCTTTGGGAGACAATAGCATTATGAAATGGGTTTTTTTTTTTTTGTCTTCACTCATTGTAGTTTCTTTGCTTTTGAGGTCCAATTCTATTTGACTTTCATAGGCATCTACCTCATGTTTTTATTTATTCTTAAAACTTAACTTTGGTAGTCTACATTTGACAACTCTAAGATGAAGCAAGATGGCTATATGAGCTAGCAAATTTAAGTAATCGAGGTTATGAGGATAAAGATAGATCAATGGTTGCAGAATTTATTGATTAGAATTGTGAAGTAATTTGGCATACTATATTTTTTGAGATCATCATTTTTTTTTATTTCTCGAGTTTGTTGTACTAAGAGAGAGACTTAAGATTATAAAATATTATTTTCTTCATTCCTTTTCATATATTGACTGGGATGGTTTTGACCAATATTTTACTTTTTATGGATGTGAATTGGATTAAAAGCAATTGCTTGCGCCAAACAGACATGAACTAGGTATTTCATATAACATATAAGTTGTGTTTGATTTAATTGTGTTATAAGCGAGTGGTGTTAATGTTAGGTCACTCGACACAATTAACTAAATTGGTTGTGTTACGGATGAGGGATTTTTCACATGAATTTGAAATAATACGAAATAATATGATACAACACAATTTGATTGTCGCTTAATGAGGGGTTCTCATTTTTGTAATTATTCATTTTTTTTGTGTTATACATTGCCTTAACGCTCAGACAATTATTTGTAATTTTTTTGTTTAGTACATAGTGCCTTCATGAACGGACAATTTCTAGTATTATTATAAAGTAGTAGGTCTCCATCATTGAGTGCAATCTATTTGTTAATTCAACTATAATGCTGCATTAGATCTCTAAATTAGGCCTCCAAATTAAGTACATATAGTATCATTGTTACAAAAAAAATTGCCCCCACTTCAATAAATTTTTGGCTCCGCCCCTAAGCACAACTCAAGACATGGAAGCCGAGAAGCAAAACCCAACCTCACTATCAAGTACCCAATAAAATATTCACCAAACACATAAAGGATAACCTCAATACACCCAAGCAAATCAACACAATTAACAAAAATAAGGCCTATAAATATAAATCACTAAAATTTAGAAAATGTATAACTTTATACCTTCTTGATTGAAGGATCGAGCCACTCGTACCACCGAGCCTTGCACTGTTTGGCGGACTTGCGAACCAGAAGGGAAGAAATCCGAGCCCATTGATTCTTCCCATATTTCATCACCGCTGCTTTGAGGATTTCATCTTCGGTGTTTTTCCAAACTCCTCCCTTTATCATAATCCTCATCTTTGCTAAGATTTTCTTTGTCCCCCAAAGGATACTCCTTCTAGCTCCTCTGGCTTTTGGGTTTTCAGAAAGAGGAGAATAAACAACGAACTCTCTCTCCTCTTCTAAAACACACACAGAGCCCGGCCTCTCTGTCTCTCTCTCTCTAATGCTCTACTAGTGCGGCACTTAGCGCCCCAATATGGATCGGAGACTCCCACAGTCTCCCTCGCCCATCCCACTCTGAGGTGTCTGTAGTAAAGAATTGCATATATTACCAGCAATCGGAACCACTTGGATCCCGAATTTCTTTCCCCAAATCCCATTTTTATTGTCTTTTAGTTGACTCGTGGTCTCGACATACCGTACATCTGATCGTGCCACTGTATTGAACGAGTCTGTTTTACACTTGGTCCGATTGGTCCGAAAAAAAAAAAGCCGATGGAAAGTTAAAAGGAAGTAAAGAATGTATATTTTCTTGTATGTATGCGTTTGATAAAATGAAAATTTTGTAAAAAGATTTTAAAAATATTTTATTCTGTTGGCAGAAAAGTAAAAGCATCTCTAAGAGGCTAGTTAAACCCTTTCATTTAGCTGTTTAGATAGTTTTTCCTTAAAATATTATTCCAATAGACTATCTATAATAGATAACCTTATTTTCACTCGATAGATGTAGCTAGCCAATAACTCCCTTGCTAGCGCCAATCTCTCCCTCTTCGCCTCCTCCTCTTCAAGTTTCGGCTCATCTACAATAACCCATTTTTTCACTCATCTGTTTTAATTCTTTGGAATTTAATTTTTGAGCAAGAGAGAGTGAGACAGAATTTTTCATTTTTATAAGCAGAAAGATGCAAACGGAAAGAACAGAGTTGATGCAATCAGTGGTGACAGTGACGGATACCAGAGGGAAGCATCGGATTTCGAATAAATTGAAACAGTTTTGGAGGTTAGTTCTTGTTGCCACTTTGACCCTTTTCGGCTATTCAAGTTTGATTTTTCTGCTCTTTGTTAGTTGGGTGATTGGTGGTTGAACACAAAGTATTTGGGGATTTGGAGATTTTTACCATCTCGATTTTACCATCTGTATTATCACTGATGAGCTTTGTACGAGAAGAAGAAGAACTGAGGTAATAAAAAAAATCTAACAAACTCCCCAAAAAATTCAATAAAACTCTTAAAAAATTTAAAAACTCCCCCAAAATCCAGCAAAATTCTCTAAGTATTTTATGATATTTACTCTTGTAACCCATCTTTTATGATATTTATTCTTGTAGCTCATAATTGATTAAATTTATACAATATATAGTTGAATTGTTATTTTTTGAATTTTATTATTGAAAGTTAGTTAAAGTTAGTTGGATTGAGTAGTTAAAATAGATAGCGTTGTTGGAGTGAATTTGAAAAAGTGGATAGTTAAAGTAAATAATAGAATATTTAAATACATTTTGGGTAGCTATTTTAGATAACATTGTTGGAGATGCTCTACGAAAGTTATAAGAAATTTTATTTAATTGTCTGAATTACTCTTATGTATAATTATTCAAAAGTGGCTCTACCCATATGGCTATAGAACAGGAAATTGAAATAAAATTTCTTTTTGTTGCTTTCACATAAATTATTTTGCATTGCAAATTAATTTATCATCCTTTATTTTTTTTCAAGTTAAAATTTAGATCACCAAACTTAAAACACTATGTTTGTAAAAAAAAATAGATTTATATCACTCTAGAAAAAAAAAAGATACGAGTTCATTGAATTGGTCTAATTTTTTATTGACATTGCAAGACACAATTTGAGTTCCCCATATAGCCTAACGCCAATTATTAGGTCCATAAATTAAAAGAATGTAACATTTACACTATGTACTCTAGATAGTTTGTCGAGAGGGAGTATATCTCTTTATTCTAATGGATAAGAGAAGGAGCACACGCCTTAGAACCATAGAACCAAATTATTAAACAAAAAATAGAAAATAATGCAGTAGATTTCAATAACAAATACTCCCTTAAATGACCTAATAATACTTAAGGGTCCGTTTGTTTAGCAAGAAAATGCTAGAAAATACAAGAAAGAGAAAATTTAAAATTGTACATGTGTTTGTTTAGCATGAAATAAAAATGATAGAAAATACTCTCATGTTTAGATTTTCTCACATCTAACTAACTTTTTTTTCTTGCAAAAAACACAATAAAAAGCAAGAAAGTTGTATTCAATAACTTAACTTCCCATTTTACCCTTATTTTTCTTAAAATATTCAATTAGTTATTAATTTTTAAAAAAATGTGTACAAATTAGGCTAATCATATAATTTGGTCTAGAGATTAAGGTTCGAGTCGATCTTTGTTCCTGAATTAGGTTATGTGCCAATTTTTTTTAAAATTTGAATAATAAAAAATATTTTTTTCTTCTTTAGACCAAGTTAAAATACTTGAGGATAATTTAGACAATTAGAAAACTTTTCTTATAACTTTCTTTTTTTTCAAACAATGGAATGAAATTGTTTTAAAATTTTCTTTGAAGTTTCTCATGCTAACCAAATACATGCATGAAAATATATTTTCTTTCACTTTCTTTTCTTTTACTTCACTTTCTACCTCTTTCACTTTCCATCATATTTTTCTTGCTAACCAAACGGACCCTAACACACAAAAGTAGTAACCAAAATCCCACCAAACATAAATTATGTCCAAATTATTAAAATAACATGCAAAGTTACTCGACTACACTATAAAACTAAGTCCAAGGAACTTATAATCTTCTAACTGAAAATGCATGCATCATCGTCGCCACTCGACCTTTAATTTATAGCATCGAGCCTCCTTGTGATAGTTGTCGAATTAAAAATAAATAGTGCATTTCTTCAGGATAGATCAAAAATGCTCTCGATTTGACAGAATATGCGTTCAAGTACTCAAAAGCGGCTATTCGACTATTGATATCTAAACCTTTAACATCCATGATAGTTTTGTAAAGGTCTAAATAATATATGTAATGCTTACTTTTCTCGTATGCATCAGCTAGTTTTGTCATGTTATTTGCAACAACATTTATTATTTTGACAACTATCTCTGCATTTTTCAGCTTCTTTGAATGACATCTCATAGGCTTTGAAGATCCATGGTTACGATTGCCTTGAGCATGTATTTGACAACTGTCATTGTCTTGTTGATGTTTAGATCTATTACCTTCTATACCACACAAGTCATCGACTATCATATTCTCATTAAGATCGAATATTGGTGTGTACTCTCGTCACTATCATTCATTTGTCTTGACGGGTTTGCAATTATATCTTTACGTGAACATGCCCATTCTTCGGTTGCTTGATCATTGTCATACACAATAGCTAATTCATCAATCATATCAATCTTCTTACCACGCAATTCTTTTGCATCTGGATTTGCCTACAAAAATGTATCAAACCTAATAGTTAGGCATATTTCGATAAATTGCTTTCATTTTGTTTTCATTGCAAAATGTAACATTTAGAATTCATTATTATTTAAAATGATACTTACAACAACATATGTAGCCCAGACTTGATCACTACACTCGACTAGTTTTGCCACTAGTTTCCAAGCAAATCAACTTTTGCTCAACATATCCTATATAAATCTAAACTTTTTCTTGATGGTTTTTAATCGATTAACACAATTATCTCGACTCAGTGAAAGGTTAAAACTAGCATTTATAGCTAACAAAGCTTCAGTATAAGCTTGATCTTTAAAGCCCTTATCTACTTTATAACCTTCATTAGCTTGATGTACCAATTCCAAAATGAGACATTGATCCCCTCCTTAGACCACACTACATTTTTTCCTTTTTTTCCCCCTCTCCTGCGAGGGATTTAGACTTATCTTACATTCCTAAAAAGCTCAAAAGTGTATATAACAACAATTGAAATAAGAAACATAATCATTATAAAATAAAAAACATGCATAAATGAAAGGCAAACCATATCAAAAATAATATAGTATTTATTTTACCACTACCCTAATAAAGAGACATACAATACCATTTTCATGTATCTAAAAACATTAAAGTACGTTATGAGCAAGTATCCAACTACCGTCTATTACAAAAATCATTCCACATCGCATTCATAATTTGTGTTCAAATCCTTTTTCCTTCCCTTCCATTTTGAGCCCTTGTTAATTGTGTGTCAACATCATTATGGGTTATGGCTAGTTGATTTTGCATCTCCCAATCAACATCGGCTAAAAGTGGATCATCTGGCATCACCCCTCGAATATGATTGTGCACAATGCAATAGGCAATTTCTATATTCGTCTGAGTTGTATACCTAAACATTGGTTCACCCATTAAGATTCAAAATCATTTTTTTAATACTCCAAAGGCTCTCTCAATTGCATTTCGTAAAGACGAATGTCTATGGTTAAACAACTTTTTTGTTGTGGTTGGTACACGCCCCCTTATTTCATTTAAATAGTATCTAGTACTTCGGAATGGGGTAATGTAACACTTTAACAATGGAAATCCTGCATCTACAAGATAGAATTTGCCTACACAAACAATAACATAGAACTTATTAAAGTTGTATTAATCCATTTCAAAAGAATTTCTCTGTATTGCTGAAGTACATAATTGCTTGGAGGACATGTAATCCCATGCTCCCGACTAATAGCACAACCTAATATTCGAGAATCATATGCTGAGCCTTCCCAACCGGCTAAGACATAGGTAAATCTTAAATCTAGCGTACAAGCAACTAATACAGTTTGGGAAGGCCATTATTTTCTACCATGAAATCGTGCAACATATTCGGATGAAACTTTCACATGAAGATGTGTACCACCAATTGCCCCCACACAATTCTACTTGCATCAATAACAAATGACAAATTCTTGTACACAATACTGTAAATATATTAAAAAGTGTTGTTTTTAGAATATTTTACCTTAAAATATGGCCACATCCTATGATTTTCATGTTTCTTTGTAGGGGTCTCCGTTTGAGAAGTAGGTTGCTTTAAAAAGTCATCTTCCATGCCTATTATAGCATTTAAGACTATGTGGAAGTATCGGGATATGGTTTCATCAGACCTCTTAAAGTGGCATTTTGCACTTTGATTTTTTAGATTGTGCAATATTATATACAGAAACATGGCTAAGTGTTCTTCAACACTACAGTGCATGGTATCCTTTAGCCTTCCAGTACCTTTAAGTATGTATACAAATATTTGGAAAAGCCTCCACATTCATTCTTAATAGATTATGTCAATGTACACCACTTTGTATCACATCCTAGACAAATTGGCATTGTATCAGATAACAATTGCGTTGTGGCTTCTCATCATATTGTTCCAAGTAATAAACAACATACATAATAGTCATGACACCAAAAAATTGTGCATAAAGAAGAATAATCTCTTCATCATCATCATCATTGTTATCCATCTTCAAGATCGAATATTAAGAACATCGCAAATAAGAACATGTCATTAAAAATGCAAATGAAAAATCTAGACATATAAATGAAAAAGTAAAATCCAATTCAAAACAAAAAAAGAAAAAAATCACAATAAACTTTACACCATTTTATTTAAATAAGATATCCACATTAGGTGTAACTGTACATATGATCATGAGTGAAGTTTTTATGATCTACCCTTCTTGATCATGATTGAAGTTTATATGTAAAAGATCATTGACTAAAGTTTACAATTTGTGATTCATTCTATTATAATGGGTCAAGTTTTGAAACTAAAAAATTTAATTTTCATTATATATCTAGAACCTATATATGGACCAATGGGTTTTTAGTCAAATGATACTCCTTACGTTGTGAAAACTTTGCCTTCTTAAGGTCAAGGGTTCAAGCCCCCTTTCCCCCCTCCCTCCCCCCTCAATATATATATATATATATATATATGGGTGCAACATATACTTGGGATTAAGTACATAACCTATAAGTGGGTCAAACTCTAAGTTTTCTTTTGAAATAATATAACTACCAGATAAATATCACACAATCTAAAATTATAGTTTGTATTGAAAAACATTAGAGAAATTACAACATGTTAGGAAGGATTATCAGCTCATTGACACTATGCCACCATTAAGACCATCATGTACATGGCACGTAAGAGCATTCATATTTTTTCTACAGAAATCAACATGAAAAGCAAAACTAAGTAGACCACTGTTCCACGAAGGACCACCGATAAAGTATTATGCATACAACTATGCCCATACCCACAAGATGCATCTTGTGTGTTGAGTAGCTTGAATAGGACTACCCATTTTTTTTCCTCGAGATATTCTATTTTAGGAGCAACATATAGCAGTTAGCTTGAGTACTCTTTTTTAAGTTTTAGCTCTTGAATGAAGTTATCAATGTTTAAGAACCAAATTCCACAGATACCAAACAATTTGAGGTAGAAGTTGAAATTCTTCTTAGTCCAGAAAGGAAAATATTTTCTAATGTTAGAGGTAAATAATTTCCCGATTTTCGACCTTAATATGCAGGCAAGGTTAACAAGTTAATAACATAATCATAATAAATATAAAGGTGAATAAAAATGACAAGATATAATCAAAGACAGGCTAGTCATAGACCATGGTTCAATGGTAAAAGCTCAAACTATCAAGCATGAAAACACAGTATCAAAGTTGAAGGGCAGTAATATGCACATGTACACAAACATGCTAGTTGAGACATTTTATCAAACACCTGGGCTACCTCGTCTACATGACTGTTGAATCATAATCAAATAAAATATTTAACCCAATAATCAACAAAGAAAAACAGAGAGAAAATGGAGAAAAATGGTGTTGCCACGGAAGAAGTGCAGTAAGTACACAGGACTAATATAAATTGAAGATCCAAAAAATTAACACTCCGAATTGTATAGACTAATACAAATTACTGGTACAAATTTTTGGGTTTTGTTACTTACAATATGTAGCAATTCTAGTACATAGAGCATTTGAAGATGGAAGAAAACTTACTTATCAGTTGGTTGAGTGTGATACCAAAAAAAAAGTTGGTTGAGAAGATGTGCAGAGATGGAAAAGGTAGTCGGCTGAGAAGATGAGTACTGAGAGACAGACTTCCTTGACAAGTTGGCTAAGAAGATGAGTATTGAGAGGAGTTGTGATGTGCTAAAATAGGGGCAGAGTGGTAAAAAATGAAACATATAAGCAAGTTTCACGGGAAAAAAAAACTTTTCGTGCAAATTTTGTCGGAAAACAGAAAGCATCAAATGTGGGAAAATCGGATCATGCGGGAAATTTTTTTTCCTGAGAAACCTTTGTTTCCTGCTAAACAACACCAGATTTTGTCCTTTTTTTTCTCTTTCCCCCTTTTCCCACCATTCTCTAGCTAACCGAACGAACTCCTTGAGTTGAGCTAGGAGAATGGATTCGGATTATTTAAATATAAAAATTAAAAAAAATATAGTCTAACTATTTTTAAAAAAAAAATAGTTAGTGCACACATGCACATGCATGTAAATTATTTTAATTTATAATTTGATTTTTCACTTTTTTCAAGATATAAAATTGATATGATTTTCACTTTCTTTGATATGAAAGTAAATCACCAATTTTCACTTTTCTCAAGATATAGAACATTATTACACATTCCAATCATACATAAATTGATCACTAATCTAAAAAAAAAATGGTATTTGATCAATAAATTCTTCCTATGTAGCTAGAAAATTAGGTTTTACCTTCTCTCTTGTAGGGATCATTCTCATTACAATTGCCTAATCAAATTCAGGTCTTGCATCATTTTTAGAGATATTGTAATTCTTCTTTTTCATCATATATTTGCTTTTGAGCTTTAAGACCTTGTTTAGGCTTTACATTTGGCTTTTGTTGTTCTTGTCCACTCCAATGTATTTTTGGTTTTAATTTACCTTATGTGAGCAAAGTTGAGCATTCTTATCTTCCCTAGGGACAGTTTCTTGATCAGAGGTGCATAATCTACACTTCCTAAAATTGTAACTTTTTATGTTCTATATACAGTGAAAGAGAGAAAATAGAGAAATAAACAGATAAGTTAGGTTACCAAAAATATCACTCACACTGTAAAATAGATGCTTGCCCATAGTTCTATTTATTAAGTAACAACATCATATCATCTTTTAGGTCCAAAAGCAGACGATAAAGGGAGAAAGAAGTTATAAATATGATAGATTTACTTTAAAATATGTACTCTACAAGAAAGTGCAGGTCTAATAGCATAAAATTGACTTTATATTATTGATTAAAGGAAGTGTAGTGTCTGGAATTAAATCAATTATCTTAGTTTTAGGGTTTATAAATTAAATCACATGCATAAGTTATTTGATTAGGGGGTAAAAGTGATTTTATGATATTGACTAGATATAATTTTAAAAATCAAAATTTTTTCACATTGAATGCATTTAGTGGACATATTCATATTTTGCTAGTTGAATAGATGAATATGAGCAGTCCAAAGAATGTCAAAAGTTTAGATAGTTAAGTTATATTTTACTAGTTGATTACATGCATATGAATCATCTGAGAATGTCAAAAGTTTCCATAGTTAAGTTAGTGAGTTACATTTTAGTGATAAACACAATTGGATTTGAGAAGTCATGCACATTAAAAATGACATTATAGTTGTTGATGCCGAAAACTACACATTGAGTATGGGAAAATGGTTGAGTTGAATTATTCCTTGATTGTCTTGGTGGAATCCCCGCAGGAGAAATCGACGACCAGAGGGACTCTAGTGGTCGACCCTTTGATGATAAAGTCAGAAAGAAATTATTGCGAGTGATGGCATTTTGATGAGAATGAAGACTTACCTAGATGATCCCTAGCTGGTTCCTTTTATAGGCTAGTAGATTTGACTGTTAGATGAATATTATCCTCTATTTGAATAAAGGTGGCACTAGACCCGAAGTTGATATGGACTCCCTATGGCATAGGAATCTCAATTGGTTTTGAATTAGTGAACTAGGACTCTGTCCAGTTGGGACGCAAGCTTGGTGAGCTGGTGAGTCAAGACTAGGCCCCACCAAGATATGCAGCTCCTATGTTGGTTGTCGAGCTCGTCTACCAAACTCATGCTTGTTTTACTATCATCAGTTGCTCTTCAATTCAAACCAACATGGATTGCATGTGCCACATATTTGTTGCACTTGTCCGTTAGTACCTAGGGAAGCAGAAACATGGATCGTGCATACGTGACTGCCAAGAAGACTATTGTGGGGGCTAGTACTTAAACCCTTCTTCCCCATCACTTCCTAACACGTCTTCAAGAGCACCAAGAACTCTGGTATGTTCTTTTTTTTCATCTTTATCTTTTCTCTTTTTTGTTTCACCCAAACTCTTCATCTTGGAGTATATAGGTTGGAGCCATACCTTTCAATTCCATTTTTATCGCTTCCATTTCTTTCGGTGGAGGAATTCCAACCTTGATCATCTTGGGTTATTTGTAGATAAATCTATTCAAGTTCGAGTAGAATCGGTGCTTGACTCTTTCCTTTCTCTTCTTACCCATAACCTTAATTGCTTGCCTCCGCCGAATTTATACATGAATCATCGTTGTTTCCCCATTATGGCAACCAATTCCAAGCACAGGTCTTCTGAGAATATCTCGACGCTAGTGTCTAGAGCTAATACAATCAATGAGGACTCTAACTCTATACTGGATATTGTCTTATCGTCCCTCAAGGTTTTGGGGCAAAATCCTACCGAAGTTACCTTGACGAGGATACCCTTAAGGAAATTAGGGCTTTATATCAAATTCCTTATTCGGTACACCTTAGGGTCCCTTCTTCTGATGAAACTACTAACTTTTTTAGCCTCAGTGAGGTTTGCTTCTATATATCTATCTTCAAGGCTAGACTTCATTTCCCAATACCTAAATATATTAGGGAGGCCCTCCATTTCTTGAATCTTGAGCTACTCAATTGACACCAAATAGTTGGGGGGGGGGGGGGCTTCTTGATTGGTATTTGGTGTCAATTAGGCTAGGGCCAATGGTATTGGGGTTCAGCCTACCCTCGTCAAGCTCATACATTGTTACAAACTCACATCTTGCTCAGGGCAAGGGCTAGTGTTGTTTTACCTTTCAAAATGAGAGGTAACAGACCTTCTAATGGGATATTCTTCAAACATGAAAGAATGGAAAGACAAGTGTTTCTTCATATCTAGAACTGGATGGGAATTTGGGCAATCAAAAGCCCTTTCTAATAAACATATTTTAGTTCCTCATCTATGGACTATAGGGAACTGCTACCCCCTCTCTTTATAAGTAAATTCCCTTTGGTTTCATCTATTTTGGAGCTTTATTGAAACTTTCATCTTTCATTTTCTTGAAACACAGGTAAATCAAATCCCCAGCCTCCCGAGCTAAAAATTATAGGTCAATTAGGGCCTTCTCCCATTATCTCTGATCCTCTAGCTCCAATAGCCTCCTCTTCTAAAGGTATAACTTTCTCATTGCAATTCTTGTTCTAGCCTATACACATTTATAGCTCATTTTCGTCTTTATTTTGCTCCAACCATGGCTCCCAAGCCAGTTCACAAGAAAATACTTTAAGAGATTGCAACC